TTATTATTATTATTATTATTATTATTATTATTATTATTATTATTATTTGTTACTACGACGACGACGATGACTACGACTACTATTTTCTCTGTTGCTCTGTATTACACGGAGAGCTTCTGTACCAGAGACAAATTCCTTGTGTGTCTAATCACACTTGGCCGAATCAAGTATTCAGTTCAATCCAATTCAATTCGAGAGGTCCAGGGGGCTTTCTTCCTTCCTTCTTTGCCAAATTCCTAAGCTCAAAAACAAGGATTTGGTCAGACGGCATGGAAAGGCCGGAGCAGAAAGGATGACTTACGTTCGTATTGCAGAGTCTGTACTGCTTGTAGGCCCCAGTGCACACAATTGCTGCGGCCGGCTGAGTGGACATCTGCCCTTGGATGGCGGGGTGAGAAGCTCCAGGGAGATGCCTGCTCCGTTCTACGCCCTGGAACAAACTTTGAGGTGCTGCTGGGAAGGCTTGAAAATGGGAGCCCGGTTGTTGATAGAAAGAGCCGCTCACGACCTGAGTCCTGGCTGGAGAAGATCGGTGGTCACCTTGGTACGTTCCTCCAGGATGATGGTGGTGGGAAGGGTTACCTGGATGGGAAAAAGGGGAGGTGCCACCAGTCCCTTGTTGGTTGGGTGCAGGCTGCATGGACTGGCGTTGCTTTCGGGGCTTATGTGCCGATTGTCCTGTGTCCATCTGCAGCGGGAGAATGTAGGGAACTTTTCCATAGCCGTATTTCCCGGGTCCAATGGAGCTTTTCTTTCGGCCTCTGAGGACAGAGAGAGCAGGAGAAAGCAGGTGAGCCGTCATGTTTCGAAACAAGCAACCAACAGCTTCAAGACCAGTCCCAGATCCGATCAGCCAAATACCAACCCAATAGGCTTCACTACTTATTCTCCTGTAGCTCAGAGTGATGGAGGAACCCAATCACAGGAAGCTTGCAAGAAATCAGAAGTACGGAAGATGTTCTGCAGGGACCACAAGTCTATCTAGACCAGAGGTCTTCAAACTTGGCAAGTTTAAGACTGGTGGACTTCTCAGCTCCCAAAATTCCTGAGCTAACATGACTGGAGGAGGAATTC